TTTAATTTTTCTGCAAAAATGAACAAAGGGCTAGGGAAAAGCGTTGTTTGTTCTTAAATACTTTTAAAAATTTGAGAATTTTTCTGTTTTTGGAACTTTTTAACATTCATCTTTTAAATTGCTTGAAAAGGAGCATAAAAAGAAAAATTAAACACTATTCAATGGAAGTAGGGATGATTTCTTTGTTTTTATTTATTTATTTATTTTTTTGGTGCAGTGCACGGTCGGCAATGTATTTTTTCTTTATGTTTTGATTTATGCGTGAGGTTTATGCTATCAGTTCCTGACCACTGACACTTTCACAGCTTAAAATACTATGTATAGCTTTTTTTGTGGGTTGCTTGAATGACCTATTTAAGGAGTGCTAAATATGGGTTTCTGTAACCAAGGCGTTTACTGGTGTTTGGCAGCTGTGATTTACCATACAATGTTACCGTCGGTTGAGTAAAAAACAAAAAAGAAAAAAGAATTTTTTTACAATTATTATCTTCTAAATTCTTAATGTTTGTTTTATGTTTACTGTTGGTTTCTTTTTCAATGGTTTGAAGTTTTTACAGCTTGTTAGTTAGTTTTTTTTTTGTTGCGGTTTTATAGCTGTGATTTTCAATTACTTCGGATACACACAGATACGTTTTACAGAGATTCCGACACACTTGTCTTAGTTGTCAGTTTGGTTTTGCAACCTATTTTCGACTTCATTGTTTTTTTTTCGCCTTGTTTTTTATAGAATTTTTTTGTCGACTTACAATCGGCAGTAAAGAGTTCAGAAGAAAAACGCAAAAAATTTAAGAGATGCAAAATTAATCAAAAGGAACTCAGTAAATTAACAAGGAATGTCGATTTCTGAAGACATCTTTACTTTAGTAGAGTATAATTTGGTTGGGAATCCAACAAAGATGGTTGGGTTGATGCCTGTTTTGCGCATTTGATACGTCATTTTGCAGTGTGTTTTATCCTTTTCACTTACAATTATTTTTTCCTAATTTTTTTTTCTACAATTACGCTACTTCTTTTGTAAGCAAAATTTGCACGAGAAAAATTTTTTTTGTCATTGGTGTTTTCGCTATTTTTTATATAGTTCTTTATAAGTAGTTATTTAAGACTTAAATAAAGAGAGAAAGTTAAATGGAGAACATAATTATATGTGTCAAATTTGGACAATCCAACTATATGTTTTCCAAAATGGAATAAATGTAAACTATGAAAGAACATACTGCCTGAACAGAAATTTTTTTTGGTTGTGTTGATCATTCAAGCCTAAAGTGATGTGAATGTATTTTTAAACCTTAAAACAAAAAAAAAA